AAAAAAAAAAAAAAAAAAAAAAACGATATGGAGACATGCGCGCGCACACTCCCAAGAAAACACACGCCTCCCTACGTACACAAAGCGCAGTTACGCGCAATGATCGTGTATCAGCACAAATGGAGAGAGAAAGGGCGGGAGAGAGACAGAGAGAGTGAGAAAGAAAGAAAGAGAAAGAGAGAGGGAGAGGTAAAGAAAGAGAGAGAAAAGCTTTTAGCACCCGCGCGCTTTTCCCCGCTGATAACTTGCTCTCGCTTACGCACCTGTTGCCTTCTTTCGCCCTGACCGAAAAACATTCTCGCTCGTAACGGACTTGGCGCGGAACCAATCTGGACCTCGACAGCCACGTGGACCCTTTGGACCTCCTTCCGTGCTCCTCCAGTGTCCCGCTTGGCGTATTTTCAGAACTACCCCACCCACAAACACACACGTCACTGTAGTCCTCCAGTGTCCCGCTTGGCGCCCAATCACGCTCCCAACAACAATGCGCGCCACGCACACTCCTCGTCCCAAACCTGCTCTCTTCTCTCTCCCCCCCGCCCTCCACCCCCCCTCTCCTGGCCGTTGCCTCTTTTCCGCGCGAGCGCGATTCCTGATTAGAAGCTGCCCAAAGCGCGCCAACCGAGCGGTCAATAATCCAATCTGGTGCCGATTCGATCCGATTCGGGATCCCAATTCAAGATTCAAATTCAGATTCCAACTCGATTCCAAGTCTGTCGCTCGTAAAGATTCACTGCCTCCCCGCAATGGGATGGGATGTGTGTGTTGTGAACTTACCACTTCACCCACTATCATGTGCACCCCATGACGTCGTCTGTAAGGAAAGGTCTTCTGTGACAGCACCCTTGGAGTAGCAGTGGGAGGAGGAGGAGGAGGAGGAGGAGGAGGTGGTGGATGAGGAGGTGGTGGATGAGGAGGTGGATGAGGAGGTGGATGAGGAGGAGGAGGGGGAATTCACTTAGAATGTCTGGATACGCACGCTTGGTCAGAAATGTCGCCTGTGAGCCTCTGTCATCATCACCCACGCACTCTCTCTCTATATATATATCTCTCTCTCTCTCTATCTCTATCTATCTCTCTCTCTCTCTCTCTCTCTCTCTCTCTCTCTCTCTCTCTCTCTCTCTCTCTCTCTCTCTTCTCACACCCTTTACGTCACTGCCTTCCTCCGCCTGCCGGGATATTTGTTGACGTCAGTTATTCTTCGACACCACCGGACCCCACCACCATCGATCCACTCCCAGCTTCTCGAAACTCAACACCCCACCACCCGCTGGAAACTTTATTGATTTGGTTGATGGACAATCCGGAAAGAGCCAATTTAGGCAGCAAGTATAGCCCTTCTTCGCTAAGAGGGGTGCCTCAGGTCAGCCTATCGTACTTCCACAAAGAGCCCTCTCCCAGCATCAAGTCAAGCACACATTTACACACACACACACACACACACACACACACATACACACACACACACACACACACACGCACCCACGCACACACACACAACACGCACGCACACACATACACACACACACACACACACACACACAACACACAACACGCACGCACACACACACACGCGTGTATACTTACAATAGACACATACACTACTGAATATATCAGAAAATGTCAGAATAGGAGAACCTCATACCAGAACTTCACTGTTCACCCCCATGAATAGAAATTGCGGTCACATGCATTCCCGCCCGGCAGAATAGAACCACCTCACGCNAGAAATTGCGGTCACATGCATTCCCGCCCGGCAGAATAGAACCACCTCACGCCTCACTGTTGCGCCCCCACCCCCCCCTGCCCTGACCAGAAATTGGTGTCACGTGCATTCCCACCAGGCATACTTCTTCTTATATACTGAGTCCTTCGGGACATCCGTTAAAATTGGAACGATACAGAGAAGATTAGCATGGCCCCTGCGCCAAGGATGACACGCATAAATCGAGAAATGGTCCTTATATACTCCACCCATCGACCATTTTTTTCCCACAGAGTCGAGCGCGCAGCTATAGACCACTTTCTCATCAGTAGAGTGCTCGGCTCTGTAGATCCATCTAATCCACCGTGACCTATTTCATCCAAGACAATCCACCGTGACCTATTTCATCCAAGAAAAAGCTCTTTTTCAGAGTAGCCCCTAGTCTTGCATTCTGTATCGACCTCTTCGTGGATCAGGGTTCAGGGTTCGAGCACGTGATCTCTGCTTATAAACCAGCCAACAGCTAGATGTGTGTGTACCATTCAGCCACACAGGCCCGAGCTCGAGGGATCCTGGAAAGTGACGTCCCATGTGTGTGAGAAGACAAAACGCGAACCAGACTGAGTGCATCGCCACACTGCTCTCAAAATGTGCAAAACGAGAATGAACTTCCTGCTATAAACATGGCCAGATGCCCCCGCCACATTTCTGTCTTTTTCATTTTCACATTCCGAGAGTGGTGTGGCGAGGCCCTGAACCGCGCGTGCTCCTTGTGAGCGTTGGCGGGAGATGGGGAAAAATAGAGAGGGGCCAGGGCGCGACGGTGTACGCTGGACTTCGGTCTTATGAACGTAGGAGTGAGGCCCTCACCTTATTGTCGGGACCCCGCAGAAATTTGAATTCTTGCTTCGTTTATTCATTTATATCGAATCTACAATTATGTTATGCGTGCGTAATGTACCACGCCGCTACGAGGGGAAAAAAATGGGACGGTTGGGGGGGCGGTTCTTTTCTCCAAAAGAAGACAGCTCATTACTATTGCATTTCCTGAAGGCAACAAGGCCACCCGGTGTAGATTAGACACAAGATTGAATTTATCTGGGCTGGTTAGTCCGATGATAATACCTCAAGGCCATCCCCCTTGAAGAGAGGGGGGGGGGGGGGGGAGGCCTTGAATCCCTCGCAGCAGAAGCTGGAGAAGTACTGGAGCATAACCATAACCCAGTTTTCGATGCAGGCGCTGGGAATTCCAGCGACAGAATGGCCAACTCTGGAGGGCTGCCCTGATGTCCTGGTACAAGAAGAAACTGCCACATGCCATCAAAGCCTAACAAACTTAAAAACAACAAAGGGGCAGGGCCTACTGGGCCCCAACAACAGCGACCGCAAACCAGCCAAATTCTACATTGTCGTACCAAATACCCTTACAAGGGTATTTGGAGGGTATTTGGCGTGTTTTCTGCAAGTCGCACTAGTGCAGCCTCGTTCGCTCGACGGTGCACGCACGGGAGGAAGTTTAGGTCCTCACCCGAGTGAGCGGCGCGCGCTGGGTATTGACGGCAAGGTGCAATCATGCGCAGCCTGGGTGTGCGTGGCGTCTCGGGCCATCGGGACGTGTGGCCTTTCGTCCCCTGGCCTTTTTGTGTCTTCACATTTACTCTTATTTTTATTATTTTTCCCACTTGTAAATTTTGCTAAGTGCCTTGGATCCAACACCGGGACCGACGAGCTCAGTTGTTATGCCGCAAGGCACGGGTGGCCGTCACGGCAGTCAAGAACCTTGACCACGCGCCTTTTTCACACGGGCCCGATCGAGTTCCTGCATATTGGGGATGCTGGCAATTTTTTTCCATCGCACCCGTGATGAAGCACGGACCGAAGAAGTCAACATGCATGGAAGTGGTGGGGTCAGTCGTGGTTTCCTTCGCGTCCCACTTGGAGAGTGTCGATAGCCTAAGGTAGAGGGAAATAGTATAACATTCCGAGTGGCCCTGTGGGGCTGCAGCTTGAGAAACAATGGGGTCGCTGCGGCCGGCACGGCCCGCCACCCGCCGTTTGCTGCGGAAGGTTCGAGTGGGAGTGTAGCGGACCTCGGGTTGGCCTGTGAGACCAGCCCCTTAGCC